GGTGCAGGGGGCCACTCACCTCACAAGTCTCACCAACTTCACGCTAGAAGCATGCTTGAGGGAGTGAGCTTCTGGAAATGTGAAACCAAGTGTGACATTTCCCTGCCTCAGACACTTCACCCTCAGAATGAAATCCAACTCTAACAAGCCCTACAAGCCTTGACCCTGCTCGATCCTCTCGTCTTTTCTCACTCCTGCCCCTCAGCAAGGTCTAAAGGGTACATTCTTCCCACTCACACTCGGCTACAGCTGATGGCCAAACTCTTTTTGGGCTGAGGCACTGGCCTTCCCCTAGCCCAAGAGGGGTTCAGCTTCCCTTCCCATGGGCACACACCGCAGCCCATAATGCCCTTTTGAAGTTCAAATTCTCATGCAGTTCTGAGGTCATATGCCAACAAACTCACGACCCTTCCCCTGCAGCCGCCACTGCCCCCCCACCCCCAGCACTGGAGAAAGTTGCTGTGAAAGTGACATTTCAGACTCTCCACACCAAGCATTCTTGGGTGGTACTAAGCAAGGGGCTTTGAGGGGCAGGGTGAATGTCAACAACCGTTTCTGACCTTCTCGCTTGAGTCTCCATTTTTCGAGTCCAGTTCCATGGTAGACTTTTGTACCTAAGGATAATTCTGTCCACCCCTCCACTCTCAGAACACTCTGCACTCCTTGATCTCAACAAATTCTGAAGAAACTGACTTTATTGTCACTTCCGGTACAAAAAGGTTGATATAGTTCAAATTATGATTTTACTATTAATATAAGGGCAAAAACTCTCTCCCACTCCCCGTCCCCTACCCAAAGCTTCCAAAGGCAATTGTGCAGGTGTGCCCTGACCTATTCCAGAGGGTGCACGCCTGGAGTTATCGGCACAACATCTGCACGGCTGAATGAAGGGTCCCTGTTCCCCACTCCCTAAAATGGGAAATGAGTCTCTAGTGTGAAGATTTCTGATCTTAACTTTGATGCAGGTTTGGTCTGACACTGACTTAACTGGCATAGTTTATTCACTATTTAAAGTCTGAATTGCAGTTTAGTCTCTTTGCTCACCATGTGTCCAACAATGGAGCCTCCATCGCATTGCAAATTTGGGCCGTATCACGGCAGCTCCCTCTGGATAGCCAGACACTCGGTGATTAAGTTGGGGCTCGGTGTCCATTCCTGCCTCTCCCTCTGGGTGGCTGCACAATGACTGTTTCCGGTTCCAGGCTGCCGCCTGATGTCAGCGCGCGAGGAGTGCAAAGAGCATCTTGAGTCCGGTAACTGATGACGCTTCCACTGACTCGAGCAGACAGCTGAAGCAGAAGTCAGTAGCAGTCTCACCTCAAGCTTTTAAGTCTGACAGACCCGCATATCTTCTGTTAGTTGAAGCAAAATACCCTGTTGTTTATCAACTTCAGTTTCCTTCAGTAAAATTAGCAACAGTAGCACTAACCTCAAAGAGTTACTCAAAGTGTAACAGCAACATAGGTAACAAATATAACAAATGCAGCCCTGCATATATTAAGTCCTCAAGAGATATGAGCTGTTGCTGTGATTCCTTTCACCCAGAGCAATGGTCTCCTAACGTTACAGTTCTATAGTACAAGAAAAAAATAAATAAATAAAAACAAAAATGTAAAAATATAAACTCTAGTAGAGGAATAGGAGAAGTCTGTTCCTTAGAAAGGGACAGTTACATCTTCATTTGAATTATAAAAATAACTAAGCACAGCAGGCATTTGATATATGCCCCCAGTTCCCTTTAAGAAAATTCTCAGAGTGCTCTTCCTTACAGCAGCCCAGTAAATAAGCATTTATTTATTCTCATTTTTCAGAAGACACTGAGGCTCGGGGAGGTTAAGATCCTTCTACGATAGAATCTAAGACTAGAATACAGGCACTGAAATTTGCTGGGCCTCATTTCAGAAGATGTACCGTTAGCATATGGACAGAGGAGCCTGGGGGGCTACAGTCCATGGGGTTGCAGAGTCGACATGAATGGGCAAGGCATACCCACACACCATTAGTTGAGGCAGTGAGTTTCCACTAGGGGGCACATGTCATGAAATGAGCAGTCGTATTGGCACTGGTTGAAGAACTCAACAGGTCTCCATCTGCTCCCTCAAAAAACAGACCAGAAAAAGCGAACTAAGTAAAAAAAAAAAGTGTTTGCCATATAAATATATATTTAATGCAGCTCCCTTAGCCCTCTCATCCAACTAGATTACAGAGGCACAGTCTTTCCTATGTAGAAATTCTGGAATCAGATTGCATTTCCGTGCAGGACGAGTGCACAGGTGAGTTTTAAAAGCCCTTCCAGTGGTTCTGGCAAGTCCCTTAAACTGGGAACCCTGTCCTAGTGCCAGCCAAGCTACAAGAGAGAAGTTATGTGCTACTGGATTTGATGATACATGACCATGCCCACCTCATTCAGGATCATACTCTCAGAAGAAGAGATACTGTTTTGGTGGTGAGGGGGTTTCTGGTTTATCTTAATAGCAGCTGATTTCTGAACACTCAGGCTTAGAATAAGACTGCTGCCCAAAGCCCAGGGGGGTCTTGTCTGTGCCCACAGTCTGAAGCCCACAGTCTTCCCCTAAAGCTCCTGCCTGGAACATACAATAATCTGTCATAAGACTATTACATATAGAGGTTTTTACAAAACTCACTTTTCAGTGACAACTGCTTGAATTATTTTCTTAACTAAATTTATTTTTAACTCCTGGAGTCATATTCTCTTCCTCTTTTGGGGTGAGGTAGATTTTTTTATTTATTTCTTTGCTAAGTCACTATTCACTAAATTGAAACAGAGGGGGAATAAAACAAAAGACATAATCAAGGGCAGTACCTGAAATAGAAATGACCCCCTGATATTCTGCAGCAACACTGCAAGCCAAGCAGGTGTCCAGCCGTTTACAGTCCAAACTACACTTGCTCCAGATTCCACCCGCCCCTTGTCACACAAGCCAACACATACTTGAATCAAGAAACTTTTTGCTGTTTACTTATGTTAATCATCAAGCCAAAGCAAATAGCCTTACACTTTCTGGATCCCGGGTAGCAATTAAATATGAAGACATCACAAATACTCTAGACAAATAAGGGGTGGGGGGAACCTTCTGTATTCTAGTCCAGGAGGCAGGCCACCATGGATCAGAGTTGCATTAGCTGTTACAGAGAAGAGCAGTTGGTTTCCAAACTTCAAACTTTCTCGGTTTCACAGGCCGCACCGCAACTGATGAGCAGGAAATTGACTCAAGTTCTTAATTTAGGACTTAAATCAACCACCAGTTTACAAGGTCTCAGTTGAAACATTCTGTATCAATGGCCATGGTTTCATTTATTCATCTACTCAGCGGGCATGACATGGAGCTCAAGGGAGAGGACCCATAATCAAATAAAAGACCCCAGACAACTCAATCTACAGTGTGGGGGCAGCTGGCTAAACAGACACTTACATTTCACACAAAGAGGTATGTACTCCGCAGCTGAGCGGCAGACAGGGACACCGAGGGAGAGACAGTAGCGCAGCTGGGGGAAAGACGTTCACCCCCTCAGCGCCCCCACCGTCCCTCTTCCGCACAGACAGACACACACACAGCCACACCAGGACACACGCCGCAGACCATTCTACTCACACTCTGTAACCGGGGAAACGGGGACTTCAGGTCTCAAGACAGGTGGTGCTAAGACACTTCACGAGCAGGGGAAACTGTTTACAAATCTAAAGCTGTTTCCACACCACTCCGAGGGGGTGCAGGGGAAACATGGGGGAAACTCAGGCAGGAAAAAACACTCCAGCAGCCCTCCACCCAGAGCGACCTGGAATCCAGACCGACCGGCCAGGCACCTGGCAGCAGAAGCAAACTTTTGCGTAAAGCTGCAGCACACTTCCCAGCCCTTGGCACGACTAACCAGAAGCCCCGTTTCCAATTTGGAAGGAGGGAAGCCGGGAAGGGTGGTGAAAGTGTTGGCATTCACACGTGGCCCCCTCTCTCCGGCCCCTGTGGGACTCAAACCCCCACCGCCTCTTTTACGCCGGGGTGCCCAGGCTTCTGAGAGAAAATCGTGCCCGAGCAGAAAACTGTCAGAGTCGCGATCACTCGGTGAGCCGGCTCCGTTACGTGGCCGTGAACCCCTCACCGCCAGCTTCACCTGCAGCCCCTACACAACACCGGGATTTCGCGCGGATAAAAACGCGGCAACGTGCAGGACACCCCCGGTCCTCTGCCGAGCACTGGGTAGGGGCTCAAGAAAGCTCGCTAGCCCGACCCTTCCCTCCAGCGCTGCCAGGTCAACGCCCCGGACGACCCTGGGGTGGAGACGTTGCCCCCAGGAAGGTAGAAGTTGTCACAACTCCGCGCGCTGCGGCCTCCGGAGAGCGGCTGCAGGCGGGGGCGGTGGGGGGGCGCACCCCGAGCCCCGCGCCCCGCGATGGCCCCGGGGGGCGTGCGGACGGGGGTGGGGGGTGGGGTGGGGGGGTGTGGGGGCGCACCCCGAGCCGCGCGCCCCGCGATGGCCCCGGGGGGCGTGCGGACGGGGGTGGGGGGTGGGGGGGGGTGTGGGGGCGCACCCCGAGCCGCGCGCCCCGCGATGGCCCCGGGGGGCGTGCGGACGGGGGTGGGGGGTGGGGGGGGGGTGTGGGGGCGCACCCCGAGCCGCGCGCCTCGCAATGGCCCCGGGGGGTGTGGGGGCGCACCCCGAGCCGCGCGCCCCGCGATGGCCCCGGGGGGTGTGGGGGCGCACCCCGAGCCGCGCGCCCCGCGATGGCCCCGGGGGGCGTGCGGACGGGGGTGGGGGGTGGGGTGGGGGGGTGTGGGGGCGCACCCAGAGCCCCGCGCCCCGCGATGGCCCCGGGGGGCGTGCGGACGGGGGTGGGGGGTGGGGTGGGGGGGTGGGGGGGCGCACCCCGAGCCGCGCGCCTCGCAATGGCCCCTGGCGGTGGTGGTGGGCGGACGGGACGGGGCGGGGTGGTGGGGTGAGGTGTTGGGGCGCTCCCCGCCTGCCCCGCGCCGGCCGCTCACCTTCCAGCAGCACCTCGCGGCCCGCGCGCTTCAGCGCCTGCACTGCCTCGTCGTGGGTGGCGTCGCGCAGGTCGGCGCCGTTCACGGAGAGGATGGCGTCGCCCACGTAGAGCGCCTGGGTCTGGTCGGCCGCCAGCCCCTTGAAGATCTTGCTGATGAGGATGGGCATCTTGTTCTCCTTACCGCCCTTGATGCTGATGCCCAGCCCGCCCAGCTCCTGCTTCAGCACCTTCACGCCGCGCTTCTGGCTGCACACAGCCTCGGGCACCCGCTCCGGCGGGTCGGTGAAGGCGGTACGGACCCCGGCGGCCGCCTCCGCGGGCCCCGCGCCCCGGCGGGACAAGCCTCCGGCGGCCGCCCCGAGGCCGTTGGCCGCGCCGTCCTCGCAGCTCAGCAGCAGGGCGTCCTCGCCCAAGTTCACCAGAACTTTGTGCCAGCGGTCCCGCACCAGAACTTCCAGCAGCCCGCTGCGCGGCGCGCGGCCGCCCCCGCCGGCCGGCCCAGCAGCTACCGCCATCTTTCCGGCATTCTCCAACGCGCGCCCGCGGGGCAAAGTGCGGGGGCCCGCGCGGGGAGCGACGAGCGCGCCGGGGGATCGCGGGGCGGGCCGCGCGGGGACCGACGAGCGCGCCTGCGGGAAGGACGCGGCTTCGCTCCGGACTAGCCGAGCCGCTCCGCGCGAGCTGGCGGCCGCGCTCGGGCCGGCCCCCGGCCAGATGTGGGCGGGGTGGAGCGACCTAAAAGGAGAGACGGAACGGGAGGGGAGGAGAGGGGAGGAAAGAGCCAGCTGCGAAACCCCGACCGAGGGGGCGGGACGGCTGCGGGACGGGCGGGGCCCGGCGGGGACGGGCGGGGCCCGCGGCCGCTCACCTGTCCGGCCACCGCCGCCCCTCCCCGAGCGCTGCCCCTGAAACCCCACGCGGCCCCGGGAACCCCACGCAGCCCTGGCCCTCTCCTCTCCCTGCCCCGCCCCGAGGACCCCCACCCTGCCCCGGGGACCCCGCCCCGCTCCGGGGACCCCGTGCCTCCTCCGGAACCCCGCCCCGAGGACCCCCACAGCGCCCCGGGGACCCCGCCCCGCCTCGGGGGGCCCCACGCCACCTCAGGGACTCCCACCCCGCCCCGGACACCCCCCTACCTCGGGCGCGCGCCGCCTCGCGCGGTCTGGGTGTCCCGCGCCGGTCCCACCCGGATGCTCCCAAGCCTACTCCCCCCTCACACCCTCTGCCGGATCGCCCCTTGGTCCGAACCCCAGCCGAGTCTAGATTCAAGCCTCCTCGCTTCCTCCTCTTGCCCAGGTCTTACCTGTCTCTCCCCTCCGCCGGGACGCCCAGGTGGACTCAGAGACCCCGGGTTCCCCGAGAGTCACAAGGGAAAGGCTGGCCCATGAATCCCAAGTGAAATGTTAGGATAACCCGAGTGCGGGACATCGCCTTTAAAGGCAAGACATCTTTGTGCCGGGTCTTGGGAGATGTGTCTCCCCTGCCCCAGGCCCCAGGAATAGATGTTCTTCCAGTCCTAATGGAATATATGCTCTCTGCTTCTGACCCATCTCCCCACCCCCCACGTCACCCCAAATGCTTCCTGTGGCCTTTCTTTATTCCGAAGATCCAATAGAGAAAGACCATCTTAAAGAACGCAGTTGCAATGGATTGTGTCTCCAAAGTTTCTTTATGGGTGACTTATTTGCAGCTCAAGTTGCATTTTTCCTGGGATGAGACATTATAATCCCTGGTTACCTTCCCAGTGGTAAGGTAAGCACTGGAAGTGCCAACATAACCCTTAGATGAATCTTCCAGAACCCTCCTAAAAACCTCCTAAAACCCTCCTTGAAACTCTTCAAGTTCTCCTCTACCCTACAGCAGGCCTCATGGAGCTCTGGAAGTGTTTCACATTAATCAGTTATTAATACCTCTCTTTCCCACTTCTCTGTGCCCTCTAATCAAAAACAAATGAAAAATTCACCAATCCCAGAATTCCTAAATGGAAACCTGACCCAGCAAAGCATTGGGAGGAAAGAAGTCTTAGGAACACGTTCCCACTGATGAGTATCATCACCGAAACTTCTAACCCTTCCAGCATGACTCACACTTTTAAATGAGAATGTTTGAATACCCAGACCAATCCCCAAAGATTAGGTGGTTGGTATTCCAGGCCAGGACCCAGGATAAAATGGTAACATTGGATTTCTTTCTTTTCTTTTTTTTTGAAGTCACTGCAGGTAGGTCAAGGGGAAGGCTTAGATTTATACTTCTGTTTTCAGCGTCCTCATTTCCAATGTTGCTAACCCACCAGTGCTCTAAAAGCTGTTTATCCTCTCATTAGCAGTTCTCACGGCAGGGACAGCATGGGCAGCGCCCGGCTGGGTGGGAAGCTGGATGGTCCCGCCCTCTGTTTAGAGGCTGAGGATGTATGTCCAGAGCGTCTGCCAAGTGCACTGAGATGGAGGTGGGCACCAGAAGGCCAGTGTGATGATTTAGAAATCAAACCAGCTTTGCCCTGGGACTGACATCTCCGTTCACGTCACACCTGGATCTCACCTCTGTGGTCAAGTGATGTCAGAGGCCCAGGCATAACTAGAAGTAATGTATCAATTTGTCGTTAGAAATTGCGAGCTCTGGGATGGCAGTTTCTCAGAATCCCCGCAATAAGCACATTTCTTCAGGGTAAGCAAACCTACTTGGGAAGGAGTAGGTTGCTTTGTTGAAAGTGGCATCAGAAGCAGAGCAAATTTCAGTATCCTTAGGTCCAAGGCCTGCGTGTCACCCAGACACGGCTTTGCCAGTGGAATTGGAATCGTAACCCTATTCTAAACGCTTTACATGTGTCAACTTAATCCTCCCGGGAATTCTTGGGATGATAACACTTCCTATTATCATCAACTCCTATGTCACAGGTGGAAAAGTGGAGACGCAAATTTTTAAAACTAGCCCTGGTCCTGTAGCTAATAAATAGAGTCAGGATACAAACCCAGGTGTGAAGAGTTTGGACTCTTCACCATCGTCCTCTGCTCTCCTACAAAATGCTCAGAACCTGTCAGCTCCAATGTTCAGCTTGCACTGGGGACAGCATGTCTACTGGGAGGGAGGCCCTGAGGGTTAAGACCCTTCCCCAGACAGGTGCAGACTTCCCAGAGGGCTCAGTGCTGAAGGGTCCGCCTGCCAGTACAGGATACGCAGGTCCAAGTCCTCGGTCGGAAAGATCCCCCTGGAGAAGGAAGTGACAGCCCGCTCCAGTACTCTTGCTTCATGGACAGAGGAGCCTGGCAGGCTGTAGCCCGGAGGGTTGAATGGGTCAGACAGGACGTGGCAACTCAACAACAACTAGGGAGGCGCAGCAAGCTGTCTCTCTAGCCTCTCCTGCTCCCCAAGGCCAGAGGACACCCGCTGTCCTAGAGTTAGCATGTTCTTTTCTTCAGACGTGTTAATAGGTTGGAGCTGTTGATTGCTGTGGTCTTGCTGCCCTAGAAGCCCTGTCTTATCCTACAGACACCTTTGTACACCTGGCCTGATTAGGAAAGCTGCTGGCTCTCAAAGGTAAGCTTGATCTAATTTCTTGGTAATATACGGGACTACCCCGCAGCAGCCCTGTAATACATACAACCAGGACAGATCTCCCCTTCTCTTCGATCTCCCCTTGTGAAGAATGGCCGCTGAACAGTTCTGAAAAGACTCCCTGCGTCCTCACTTTACAAGTGTGGAGTGTGGCATGTGAAGCTGAGCAGAGCAGTGATGGCGTTAAGGCCCCGTGATCGGTCTGTGACAAAGCCACAGCTGGGCTGGCGCACCTTGAGCCTTCCGGAAGCGACACCTTAAGTCCCCTCCTCCTTTTTTTAACCAGATTTCTTTTACTCAGCTCTGTCTCTGGTTCTGTTTCCTCCTTTGGTCCTCTGCTTTTGACTTCCGTCTCCACCCAGCCCGAAGTGGGATCTTCTGTGGGTGCGTCTTTGCTGTGGGATGGGTGTTTTCCTGCAAGGGGATTGGACCTCGGCCGGCAGAAGTGCTCAGCCGCCAGGTGAGGATGGCTGGAGGGGCAGGAGCAGCCCGTGGGGAAGGGGTGGTGTCCGCTCTCTTTCCACAAAGGGGTTTGTCCCCTGCCCTGTCCCAGGAGCTGTTCCAGGGGCTGCGCTTGTGACCGGGGAGCAGACAGATGGTAGGACGTGCCCTCGGAGGCGTCCTTCGTAGTGGGCCACAGGGTGGAGGTGGAGAAAGACTGCAGATGTAAGATGCTTTCACGGAGAAGTAAGTGCCAGGAAGAAACTAAAACAGAGCAAGAGGGTCTAGAGTGACTCAGGGCAAGGTTTTTCACAAGTAACAACAGGGCATCTTTCACAAGATTCATGTGCTGGCACTGTATGGAAGCAAAGCTGTTCGTCATCACTGGTTGAGCCAGAACAAGGCTGAAGTTGACAGTAGGGGGCCCAGTCATGCCCTGATCTGACCTTCTGCTGCGAGGCCACTGAAGCCTCACGGGGACCTACTGAGACGTCTTAACTGGTAACAGAGACATCTTTGAGAAACCAGAAGTTGCCCTGGTGCAGTTCTTGGCCCAAGAGGACCCACAAGGCTAGTTACTTTCTGTAAGAAGAGGAGACCCATGGAAAACTCCACACTGGCTCTCAAAGCTTCTTCAAAGCACACGAGGAGTGACTCTTACTTTCAAGATGAAGTACCGAGACTGGGGAATGAGACACGTGAAGAGCGCTGGCACGCCCCAGGAGGCCGACGGGCACATCACCCATTGTAGACTGGTTGGCCAACACCCTCTGTTGCAGAGATTGGTATTCAGCTGGGTGGATCCGTGGTAAACTAGATACACCACCACCCAGACTCTCAACCAGCCAGTTGGTCAGGCGAATTATTTGATTGCTCATTGTGTTGAGAATGTTGTAGTGGTGACTTTTTTGGGAGCAGAGCTAGCCCAGGGCAGAATTGTAATGTAATTAGATGCTTATCCACTCTCTCCTCTTATTGAGTTCCATTCTCTCTGCTTCTCTTCCATAACTACTTCTGCTGAGACAAACCATATCCAGTCTTTTAATATCTGTGCTCTAAATTTAAGTCACTTTTCCTAAAGGATCTTAAATTTGATTTTTTTTGAAAACTGTAGAAGGATAGGTGAGACATCACACTAAAGACGTTGAATAAAATGAGTCTAAAACTCTGGTGGACAAGATACATCCCACCAAATACTAGGAACCTTAGCAAGTTGGCCTGAGGAGGCATTGAAGATGTCCCAGTAAACAGGTGAAGAGGAATAAGAAATCAAAAGTTTCTTTCATACATGTCTTTGAATAGCAAGGAAGTGAAAAGTCAAAGGATGATACTTGGAAAATGTTGAAAGCAGAATTGATTTGGTCTGGCAATGTATTTGAATATGGGAGCAAAGAGTGTTTATGGGGAGAGAAATTCATAATTATTATGCTAACTTTTGAATTGCTTCTCTTTATAACTGAACTAGAGCCACACAAAAATAGCCCCAATTGACTGGAAAACTTGGAAACCCAGAGACAGAAGA